CAAAAAAAAAAAAAAAAAAAAAGATAATTATAGAAAGTAAAGGAGTTTAAAACTAAAATAAAACCAAGAGGAATCAAGGGGGACTGTCTCAAGTTTAGAGCAGAGCACACAGTTACGAATTTCTCATCATCTCATTCTTAGTTTTATAATAAAGGAGTTAGGAGTGTGGAAAAATGACTCCTGTGCCTTAGTTTTGTTTTTATGATTGATTCATTCCACATTTGAAGGTATAAGATATGTTTTTATGATTGATTCATTCCACATTGGAAAGAGCAGCAGGCCACTGCCCTTTAATTTTTCTGGTAAGATTTAAATCTACAACCTATAATTGAAGACATGATATCAAACCACTTTGAGCCTAAGCTCAAACCAGCCCAGTTCTCATCATTACACCTTCATTGGTTTTTCATGTCTAAATAGACATGAAAAAAACCATTGGTTTAAAGTATATTTACTTTTCTAATCTTCAAAAGAGAGGGAGGACTTGGTCTTCGGGATATGAAGGCATGAATTAAAATCACCACATTCGAAAGCAAAGATAGATTTCTTGGAGTTTTAGGTCATTGGGAGGAGAAAAACCTGGCCATGCTTTTCAATGAATGTTAGGAGAAATCCGAATTTTCTCCAAAAAGAAAGACTTCCACAAGTCAAAAAGCTATGAAAGACAGAAAGACATAGCTTGGAGAATAAAGCTAATGACCATTTGCATGTATGCGAAATTAAAAGATGGTATCAAGATTTAGACAGGACAGATAGTACTTTATTTCGATTAGTGAATATGACAATAGCATTTAGGACTATGGAAAGAATAATTTAAGATAAGAAGGGTACCGACTTAGGATGCATCCAAGAAAAAATTGCAATTTGATCAAATACCATTTTACTTTGATGATTATGGTTAAAAGTTACAACTACATCCCTTAAAACTTAAGATTGTATCCTGTAAAGTTTCTACCAAAACACTCTTTGACTAAATAATGACATTAATGACTTGAAAAGACCTGCAAATAGATGATAAGAAAAAGTGGAACCCAACAAAATAAAATGACATGTGCAACATACTTTACTTTTAAAGTAAGGAATCATTTTTTTTCTAGTTTTGACCAACTATCCACTTTTGTAGTTTCGTGTTAAATTAGTTAATGTCTATCCAACAGGCATGCTACACATCATTAGAGAATTAAAATGCAAAGGTCAAAAACAGTTGAAATTTTTAAAATTTTAGAACTAAATGGATCAATAGTCAAAAGTGAAAAGGTGGGGGTGCCTAAAATTACCACGTTTACAATCAAAATGAGATTGATGGGCATTGCGGATCTGTCAAGTTGGGTTGAAGGCATCTTTGATGGCTATTGCAATCATGAAACTATTCACTGTTTTGTAAGATAATCACTTGCATTCACGTGAACTTGACTTCAGATAATTAAAGAACTATTATACTTCAAAGAGTATGAACTACGAAGACGGTAGAAAGAACACAAAATCAAAGAATCAAAGGAGTGAAGCCGAACCAGATGAATGGTCGGTGGGTTTTGTTTCCACTGGCCGAATAAAAAGGAGATGAAGCTTCTGTTTCCTAGCCTTTTAAGCTTCCTTTGATCCAATCTTCTGGTTCTTTCTAACATCTATAAAGACACCTCAATTCAATCCCATCCATGCCATAGCACCATTTTCATCAAACCCATTACATGATATTCAAAAGAATGGCTGCCATGTACATCGATCCAAGGCTCAAACTCCAGATGGCCAAACCCCACCTTCAAAATGGAGGCACGTCAGAAGAGATTGAAGGGCTGATTCGAGTTTATGCAGATGGGCATGTTGAAAGGCCCCCAATCATCCCAAATGTAGCCTGCAGCACCACAGCATCAGACAAAGGCGTAACTGCAAAAGATGTTCTCATAGACATTTTCACAAACACTTGGGCGCGTATTTACATTCCTAACTCTCAACGAAACCTCCCTTTGCTTGTTTACTTCCATGGCGGTGGCTTTTGCGTTGGCTCTGCCGCCTGGAGCTGTTACCATGAATTCCTCCTCAATCTTGCTTCCAAAGCAAAATGTGTAATCCTCTCAATCAACTATCGTCTTTCCCCTGAAAATCGCCTCCCCGCCGCTTATGACGACGGATTCAACGCACTCATGTGGTTGAAACAGCAAGCAATAACCAACCCCATCGAACACAAATGGTGGTTAGGCAATTGCAATCCATCAAAATTGTTCCTCGCCGGCGATAGCGCTGGAGCAAACATATCATACAACACCGCTACAAGGATAGGGCACAACGAATCCACACTCCTAAAACCCCTAACTCTAAAGGGTATAATCCTAATCCAACCTTTCTTCGGCGGAGAATCGCGAACCAAATCAGAAAAGCTCGCCGCTACGCCCTCCTCCACCTCCGCGCTAACTCTCTCCGCCGCCGACACATACTGGCGGCTATCCCTTCCGCCGACGGCCAATCGCGACCACCCATGGAGCAACCCACTGGTGAATGGCGGCGCAAAGCTGAAAGAAATGAAACTTCCACCATTAATGGTATGCATATCGGAGTTGGACATACTGTTGGACAGAAACTTAGAATTCTGTGCAGCCATGGCAGGCGCCGGGAAGAAAGTGGAGAGAGTGATTCTGAAGGGAGTTGGACATGGCTTCCAAATTCTGAACAAAGATCAGATCTCCACTCAGCGAACACAAGAACTGATGGGTTCCATTCGAGCTTTCATTCATCAACAATAGGTCAAAATATATTTGCTTCTGGTTCAATTTTGTCTTTAGAGAACATCAACTCCATCATAGTCTGCATAATCCTAATTTTTTAAGGAAAAAAAAAAAAAAAAGAAGTATGAACTACGGTAGGAAGTAAGAAGAAGTTAGAATTTCCAATTTCGATCTCTAAGTTATAAAATTATGAATGAAAATATATATTTAATTATAAAATTGTGAGACCTAAAGTTTGTTTCGAGGACATGAAGATCTATACTACTCTTGTTTGGCTATCCATTTTTTTAACTGTAACTTGTCAAATCAATCAATATTTACTTAATAGATCTGCTCGTTGTTATTGTTCAATTAAAAAGTTGAGATTCCATTGGTTTAAGAGAGAAACGAAGTATTCCTTGTAAGAGTGTAGAAATCTTTTCCTATAAGACGTGTTTTAAGATTGTGAGGTTGACAACAATATGTAACGGACTAAAGTAGATTATATAGCGGTAGACTTGGGCTGTTACACATACCAAAGTACATTTTCTATAGTGTAACAGTATTAGGGGTGAAAATTTAACTTTTTGACGGAGAGAAAATATAGATATTGTCTTAACATGTTCAACTATATTTATTTTTTATTAAACTAAATTAAGTATAAAAAAATATTAAAAAAGTTATATTTAAAAAAATAGTAAAAAAGTTATATTCATTTGTTTCAAAGTATTACAACGTTGTTTTTATTGAATTTTTACTATAGGAGTATTTTTGTAATAATTATGAAAAAGGAAGGATAAATTGTAATTTTGTTAAAGAATATGAGGTTATTGAAACATTAGTAAAGTATTTAATTTAGTATAAAGATAGAGGCAGCCCTTGGTGGACATCAAGAGCTTCGACAATATTCCATAAGTGTCCGAAAAGGGAAATTCCATAAGTGTCCTAAAAGGGTAAGGGAGAACATTTGTCGAATGGATAAAGACACTCCTATCCCATTCACCTTTGGATTCACAAAAGCTTCATACTTTGCTCAAGTAAGAATACGAGTTTTTTTTTTTTTTTTTTGTATTTTACAATTAGATTTATCGCCAGACATATGAACTACAAATGTAATAATTCAGCTGTTTTAATGCATGTTGTTCGTTGTGCATAAAAGTTTTTAAAACATAAACATAAATTTTATTTTCATGACACAGTTAGAGATATTCATTTGACCAACGTAGTTTGAGTCCTATAGGGACCCGCCTCAAATGAGTCTGGGAATGAAAAGAGAGTGATGAGAGATTTCTTCTTGTTAGTTAAATAAAAATAGAGGTCGAGATTGTATTTTTCATCTCCATCCCTGACCTTGACCCCTACTCGCCCTACTTTACTTTTTATACATATATAATTTATGATATCTTGCCTTTTTAATAAAAAATATATTGAAAAAGGAAAATGATGCATTAAAAATTCTTACTTTCTATATAAAAAATTAAAAATTTTATGAAAATTAACGAGTAAATAAGGCTAACTGAGTAAATAGCAAAAATTGGAAAAAAAAAAAAAAAAGTCAAGCTCTGAGACGCTGATGGTTCTCGCCATATAAGATCGGACGGTTGTGATCGACCCTGATCACGTTCAACAATTAATTCTTCATCGCAAGACCAATTAATGCACCAGCCGGGAATCGAACCCGGGTCTGTACCGTGGCAGGGTACTATTCTACCACTAGACCACTGGTGCTTGTTGATAAGTGTGTAATCCTTTTTGTAATTATTTAAAATAAAATTCTTAAAAAACATACTTTGATATATTTATTTTAATCAAATTAAAATTTTACTTTTCCGTTGACGTTGGACTGTTTCCTATAATAATATAATAATTTTTTTTGTCCTAATTAATTAAAAAGTCTAACCTATTTAAAGTCATCCAACGGAAAAGTCACTTTTAACTTAAAAGGATAAGGTTTTCCAACGAACTTAATACCTACCAATCTTATTCAAAACGTCTAAAATAATTCTAAATTGGTTAATATTTAAGAAAAACGGATAGGATCACGCATGAATCAAGACGAAAAACCAACTTGGTTCAAACCCACTCAATCAAACCTACACCTTAAACTGGTGAACTGGTCGCCGAACCAAAAGAACCTTAATTTGTGCATACTCATCTATCTCGAGCGACAATTATGGTATAAAGTTGTAACTATCCCGATAAATATATTTGTAACTAAGAACAAAAAAGTAACAACCATAAAAATTTAAGAGCGAGGGAAAATTGGAATTATAAAAACATTAAAGTATTTTAAGTTTAAAAATAAAATATATTTATGATATATATATATATATATATTTGTTATGAACTTTATTATTTAATAATGAAAGATTATATTAAAATATTAAAGCACAAGGGAAGCATCGCATGTATTTAGCATTTGTTTTAAATGATCAGACCCAAAACTCAAAGCTTGGGCTTATGAATCTTAGGATAAAGGCCCAAAATTCAATTTAAAAAAAAAAAAAAATATATATATATATATATATATAGTTTAGATTAAAAAATAATTCCTACAATTTTATGAAAATTAAGATGTAACGTTTATAATTTTAAATAATATAATTAATTTTTGTAGATAATCCTCGGTATAATCAGACCATAAATAATATTTATAAAGTTCGATTAAATGAGAAAAACACAAATTAAATTATAATTTAGCTTTAAAAAAATTTAATTTATTTCGGGGAAAAAATCTGATAATAAAAAAATTAAAATGTTTCGGTCTAACCCTTCCACGTCAGATGTCACAGGTCTTGAGTTCTTAAATGGCCACATATTTGATCGAATCTACATTAGGTGGGACCCCGTAATTTGTGGCCAAGAGAAAGCGAGTACTGTTACTATTCGTACTCGCGATCCGAGCCGCTAAAAAGAATACTAACTTTTTAGTACAGCAATTAGTTGCAAAAAGCCAAGGCCTAGGCGATGGGACGGGAAGGAGAAATTATTAAATGCATTAAAAAATTAAAAATAATAAAAATAAATAAAAATTGTATTTAACTATAATACTTTATTAATCCAAAACTCAATTTAAAAGCTTACTAATTTTCCTATTAATTACCATTTATTAATTTTTTTCGTATTTTTCAAACATATTTATGGAAAAAAAAATTGATAAATATAATGTTTATATTGTAAAATTATTTCTTAAAATTAGAATATGTGTAGTATAATTCATTAAATGAATGAATGAATTAATAATAATAATTTAGAAAAAAACGAATTAAAACAAAAAAAGTTTATTTCTTCCATCGGAGTCACACGTGGAGCCCACTGCAAGTCCACGATAGCCACAAGATAATGCATTACCTTTTTGCAGCCACTAAATTATCGCCACGTGGGTAACCTTGGATTCTTCATTTCCAACCCACTCTGCTCACAAAACCAACTCAACTCAACACAGAAAAACACAGACAACAATGTTGAAAACAGAGGACGACTACTTCGGCGGAGCCGCCGCCACTGCCACTGCCACCACCGCCGTAATATGCGAGGCATGCGAGAGATCCCCAGCTGTATTCATCTGCAAAGCGGACGCTGCCTCGCTCTGCGCCGCCTGCGATGCCGAGATTCACTCGGCGAATCCTCTCGCCCGCCGTCACCACCGTGTCCCAATTGGTGGCGCTGACATGGTCGGGACTACTCCGGAATGTCAGGAAGATGAAGACGAGGACGAGGCTGCTTCATGGCTGCTGTTGAATCCATTGAAGACCAACAACGAAAACAGAGGAGGTGGTTCGATACAGAGCAATAACAATACGAATGGGTTGTTTTTGTTGGGTGGGGAAGATGATTATTTGAATTTTGTGGAGTTTAATGGATGTGGGGAAGATCAATTTGAGGGGTCGGAGAATTATGGCGGCGGCGGAGGAGGAGGAGGAGAGGACAGAGTGGTGCCGATTGAATTTGAAGGGAAAGATCCGATGTTGGAACAGAGCTACGGCGGCGTTGATGGGAGCTACTCCTACAATGGCTTCCTCACCCACGCTGTAACCTCCCTACCTACCTCTCTCTTACCTTCATCAATGGAGGTCGGCGTAGTACCAGATTCAGCAACAACCATGAGCGACATATCCGTATTCTCCAACATAAGGCCACCAAAAGGAACAATCGATCTCTTCTCCGGCGCGGCGGACGTGGCGGCGGTTCAGATGCCGGCGACCCAATTGTGTCCAATGGACAGAGAAGCCCGAGTGTTACGGTACAGAGAGAAGAAGAAGACAAGGAAGTTTGAGAAGACCATTAGATACGCGTCTAGAAAGGCCTACGCCGAGACCCGGCCGAGAATCAAGGGCCGGTTCGCGAAACGAACCGATGTGGAGGTTAAACTCGACCGGAAATTCTCCAGCCCTTTAATGGCGAACGTTGGATATGGGATTGTGCCTTCGTTTTGAAGGTGAAGAAGATGGAAGAAAAAGCAGTTAAGTAGCGATTATAGGTGATTTTAACTGTTTAATTATAGAATATTTGGTCTTAATTGTATATAAATTTTGTATTTTCTGTAATTAAAACTTGTTTATGTCTAAGTTCAATTATTAATTTTGTGTCATTTTTTATTTTATTTATGTACCCGTTCTATAGTTTAAAAAATTATAAATTTTGTTCCGATTTTAAGTTTAATATAAATTTTATGTATATCTCAATTTATTCAAGTATCTTTTTTTTACTCACTTGTCACACCAATTTTTATTTTATTTTATATGTAAATCAAACATAGTTAGTTTCTATAACTGACCGGATACACATTTAGTGTTCTCTTTAGGCTTCCCCTCAAGGTTCTAGGGGAGGTTTCTACCTAGATATTGTTCTTTTTGGGCTTCCGCTCAAGGCTTTAAAACGCGTCTGCTAAGAGAAGGTTTCCACACCCTTATAAATAGTGGTTTGTTCTCCTCTCCAACCAAGGTGGGACATCACAATCCACCCCCTTCGAGCCCTAGCGTTCTCGTTGGCACTCTTTCCTCCCAGCATCCTCACGGCACACCACCTCGTGTCTACCCCCTTCGAGGAACAACGAGAAGATTGACATATCGTCCGGTGTCTGACTCTGATACTATTTGTAACGACCAGAATCCACCGTTAGCAGATATTATACTCTTTGGACTTTCCCCTCAAGAGTTTAAAACGAGTCTACTAGGGAAAGGTTTCCACATTGTGGTTTGTTCTCCACGACATATCTACCAAATTTATTTTATTTTAAAAAAAATAAAAAAAAATTAATGAAAAAAAAAAAAAAGTAGTGGAAGCTTTATATATAATGCCATTAGAAATGGAACACTAAGTGTATTACACTAGTAGTAATATTGATATGTCTAATGGACTCAACTTTTTTTTACACCCATTTGAATCTCGACTCCGACGTCGATCTCGATAATTATATTTTTATAGCGATATGATGTCAATTTTAAATATAAATGTTCGTGATTTCGTTTTTGAAATTACTCAAAAGATCTTATACTAGTGAAAGGTTATCCGTAATTTATATATAACGATTTTTTTTTGTATTTTATTTGTTAAATAATTAGTATAAGATTTTATAAATGGAGTTTTTTTTATTAAAAAAAATAAAAGTAATCAATTATCCCTTATTTTTAAAAAAAGGAAAGCAAATTTAAAAGTACAATTATTATGTCCTATATGACTTTTAATATTGAAATCTCCTTTATTCCCATAGCAAAAAGATATCTATTTTTAAAATATAAAAAATAAAAAAGTTGAAGCATTTTCTTTTTGGTGATTTGTCCACATTCTCCCTAACTTGTAATGATTGTCTCAAAGACAATTTTCAAAGCTCCCCAAAACACCCTTCATAAATTCCCTACTTTTCTCAACTTCCAAGGCTAAAAATGTAATAGATTAAAATATAACATTTGGGAGAATTTTTTTTTTTAAAAAAGAGCCAAATAAATATTCTAATTTTTCAATTTACACAATTAATCATTTATTGAGTTCTAAAAAAGATGTAATAATAAATGAAAGTTTAATACAAATATTAAATAAACTTTATAATTTAGTTTTCAAAATTTAAAAAATTCGAGAACTATGGATAAAACCTTGAAATAATTAAAAGTATGTTACGGGTTCATTCGATCGATTTAGAATTTGAGGAACGTTAATGAATTTACCATCAAAATTGGAAAAATGATGAAGAAATCGGTTAGATCACATGAAAAAAAACCCCAAAACAAAACTATACAAAAAAAAAAAAAAAAGGGAGAAATTTTACAGTCAAAGAGTTGTTTGTTTGGCGAAGAAGGTGGGGTTATCGTCTCCGGCCATAATAACGAGAATGGTCGGCTCTGAGTCCCGGGCACCGTTGGGCAGCTTTTCTTGTTCGTCGGGGGCATGAGAGGCGGCGGGGGAGTGAGAATCGGAAGGAGAATGCAAGTAGGAGCAAGAGAGGACGAGCAATGCAATGGCAATGAGACCCAAAACGATGGCTAAGCCTGTGAACAGATATGGGATGGGAGAGTGCCAGTTTCCAAATCCGGTGTCGATGGCGGCGGCGCCGGTGGAGTTTCTTGGAGGTGGAGTTGAAGCTGCAGGTCTCATTTGTTTTTTGTTTTGTGATTTTGGATATATGTTTTTTCTAAACAATTTGGAATTTGGTTGGCAACTTAAATATTGTGTTGGGTTCTTTGGGATTTTACCCTTTTACCCTTTCACTCTTTCCTCGCCAAATGATTAAATGTGTTGTTATTGGACAACATTATGATCTATAAAATATATTATGAATTTGTGTATATATATATATTAGTTCAACTCATAACCGCTCTGCTTGTATATATCTTCGTCTTTGAGCTTTCAATTAAGGTTTGTAAAAACATGTTTGTTAGGGAGAAGTTTTCACACTCTTATAAAAGAGGCTTCGTTTTCCTGTTCAACCGATGTGGGATCTTACAATTCACCTCTTGGAGACCCAATGTCCTCGTTGACACTTGTTCCTCTCTTCCATTAGGATTGTGAGATCCCAGAAATAAGTGCCAAAGAGGACGCTAGGTTATGAAGGGATGAGTTGTGAGATTTCACATTGGTTGAAGAGAAAAATGAGCATTTTTTTTATAAGAGTGTAAAAACATCTCATTAGCAAACACGTTTTAAAAACCTTAAAGGGACGCTCGAAAGAAAAATGCTAAAGAGGATCATCTATGCTAGCGATTGGGCTGTTACAATAACTTAACTCGAACTAGTTGGTTCACCTTTTTTTTAGTGCTCGAAGCGTGAAGGGTAGTTTTGGAATTAATATTTAAATACGAAAAAATTCATGAATTGTTGATGAAGCTACAGAAAAGAAGGGAAAAAAAGGAAAGCAAAAGATGAGAGCTACGCCGATTGCTCTAGGTTTATCTTTACTTTATTAAATGATGGCCCACTTAAAATTTATTTAAATTAATTAATTAATTTAAATTTATTTTCCTTATTTAATGAAGATTAAACGCAACAAGCAAACTCCCCTTTCCCCTTTAATCAAGGGTTTTTATTAAAAAAAAGTCCAAAAAAAAAAAAAAAAGATTCTTTTTTCTTTTTGAGAAAAAATAAATTTAAAAAATAAAAAATAAATCTTTCACGTGAATTTCTCTTTTTACTTTAATAATAAATTTTAATAACATGCATAAAGCTACAATAATTTAGAAATAAAGTGAAACATATTTATTTAAAAAAAATATTAATTTTAAAAATAAAAAAATGAATATTTTGGAGTTATATATAATTATGAAAGCATAGGATTAGATTAATTTGGAGTTTAGTAAGAAATTAGTTAACGGAGAATATGGTAGTAAAAATAAATTATTTATTTATATTAAAGTTGGGGCAAAGTGGGAAATGTGTCAGCTTGCATAAATAAATTAAAAAAAGGTGGTGAATAATTAATGGGATAAGAAAATTGTTGGTTGGCCAACATTATAATAATAATAATAATAATAATAATAATAATAATAATAATAATAATATAATATTTTATTTTATTTGATGATAGGATATTATCCAAAAGGGCCATTGCCATTTGGAATTTGCTAGAGAAATGGTTTTGGTATAATTTTGCAAATTTATATATTTTTTTTGGAAAATAACTTGTCTACTAAAAGTTCAACATCATCATCTTATTTGGAAAAAATCCAATAATTTTGATTTGATTGTATGCATAAAAGTCGAGGAGGAGACCGTTCTTCTCGAACCAGCTAAACAACTCGTCTTTAACCTTTGATTTCTAGCTCTCCCAAGGCTGGAGAAGCTTTCACCAAAATTTGTCTGCACGTTTCGTCTATCGAAGCTAAATAATGGTCTAATCGAATAAATTAGATCATATTATAATCGGGATTAGATCAAATAAGCTCAAATCTAATAAGTTCGACCAAAAATCCATCAAAGTCCAAACTCACGAGATATATCAATAACTTGTGGTAAAACCACTTCTCGACACCCATGTTGTAGTTGATTTGTTTCTCATTAGCTCTGAATTTTGATTCTCGTCCCTATAATTTGGTTAAATTTCACGAACTATAAAATGACTAGTTAATTCTGGCATATGGTAACGTATGTGGGTTACAATATAACCTTTAACTCCTGTATTAAAAACTAGCTTAAATATGACAAACAAATCTTTAAATTATAATTAAATAGTGCAATGAATGAAATCTGCTTATTAGTCATCATTCGACTAGTTCTATAAATTTAGCTGAGTTCATTAAATGCAACTTAAAGTACATTTAATACATCTCTTTCTTGAAGCTCAACTTTGCACAACATATAAGGGAGGTCTCCAACGTCTTATAAAATTTCTTTTGATGAGCACACCACAGCTTAAATATAAGTGTACAAAGTTTGTTATAGTTTCTTGACTCTCGTCCTTGTAATTGGATCTTGAGGTATAGAAATTCCTTGATCGTGGTTGATATCACTATTTCCAATAAAACCACCCCACCTAAATGGCGGTGAAAGTTCTCTATTTATAATCATTTAAAAAATCAAATACAATACAAATGAAATAGAAAGAACAATAAATGTATACACGATGATATTAGTTTATGATACAGAGTCAAATATGATATATATGGTAAACCGTAACGAAAGGCTAAATATCTTCGATAGTGGCATACTTCGCGGCTCGATCACGAACTTAAATGGGATATTTACAGCCATTGGCATTGGCATTAGTGGGAAGAAATAATAAATAGTAATGGGTTATGTTTGATTGTTTTAATAATGTGGCAAAGTAGTCAAAATCAAAGTGCATTTCCACATCATTTCCCCTCTACATAGCTTTCAATAATGATGCTAAATCCAAGTTGATATCTTTTCTTTTGCTCATTGCTACCTCATTTCTAGTTTCATAAACTTATATGATATCATTACCACATTGATCGCAACATCTTATTAGCCCATCGATTACAACGTCTTCTTGTTTTAGCTCATTGATCTATAAAACGGGTTTGATAGGAAGGTATCATGTTTTACGTGTTATAATGATTTTGTTTGGTTGTAAATTTGGTTTATATGGACGTCTAAAATGGTCGACTTTCACGGTTGTTGATATCTGGTTTAATATTTTTGTTGACATTTTTTAAAAGTTTAAGGACTTGGCAGACACGGAAAATCTCGAGAACTAATATGATAATTTAACCAAATTTTTTTAAAAGATTGAGGGTAAAAAAAGAATTATTAGATTTCAATAATAGTTTGTTGGTCAATTTAGTAATGGAATTTGAAAAGAACATGACATGATATAGTGAAGTACAAGGAAGAAAGCATTATTTTGTCGGTAGGTTTTATGGATCATTTTTTCTTTGCACTAAAGGAAATGAGGGGTTGACAAATCTACTACACACATTTTTATTTTAATTATTTTTTAAAAATAAAAAAAATCACGTCGGTCAATGGGTTGACATTTTTTTAGTTGGGAATCCGAAAAATAGAGTTACAATTCGACCCTACCGTACTCTACTTTTAAAATTATTATAAAAATTAAAAATATTTGACGTTTGTAACCGATTCTAGTAATACTGTATGACTAATGAATATTTGATATTTGAGACTTACGAGATTTTAGTTATTAATATAACATGTATCGTGACTAAATTAAAAAAACAATCCGATAATACAATCTAATCCAACCCAACTCGAAAATAGAAGGTGGGGTTGTAAACTCTGTTCGTATTGTTCGGGTCATCATCCTAACCAACTCAAAATTTTGGGTTAGTTCGAAAGATCTTTCCGTCTAACTCAACTCAACTCGTGTACACTCGTAAGTTCGATAACTAAGATAGTACTTCCAACATGTTATATCGATCACGAGTAGAGTAATACTTTGTTATAATCGAAATTATTTGTATTATAGTATTATAATGATATGTTTAAATACTTTGAAATAATGGTCTCTATGTTATTCTACTTATAGAAGAAAGAGCTTTCATGTCGTAAAACATGTACCATTGAATTGGACCTTATTCTTAAAGGGATATTAAATTACATATGACAAAAGATGAATGACTATGTTCAATGTACCTATTCAACTCGAATACAACCAAATTAAGTTACTCTACGAACAAAAATCCAACTGACATGCTACGTATTTGCATATTACAAAGTTCGTTAAAGATTTAAATAATGATACGTTACCCTTAATTATACATATAGGGTATGTTAAAATTACGCTCTTAAATTTTCAATTTTACTAGTAAATCTCGACCAAATAAATTAACCTAATGTTTTGATTTTTAAAATTTTTTTACCCCATCAAAAGAAGTACATAATATTATTAGATTACAGCTCAAGTCCACTGTTAGGTATCTGCTACGGAGAGATTTTCACACCCATATAAGAAATGCTTCGTTTTTCTCTTCAACTAATGTGGGATCTCACAGTCCACCCGGGATTTTAACGTCTACAAATGACACACTACTTGGAGTTTGGTTCTGATACTATTTGTAATAGTCCAAACTTACCACTAGCAAATATTGTCCATTTTAATCGGTTACATATCGTTGTCATCTCATAATTTTAAAACGTGTTAGCAAATATTGTCCATTTTAACCTATTACATATCGTTGTCAGTCTCACAATTTTAAAACGTGTCTTCATGTCACGGTACAAAAGTTGAGAAAGAGAAAGAATATTCTAAAGAACATTTTATCATCATTGTAACTCTTTTTGCATTTCCAAGCCGCCGCATCCACATCTACTGCTTCCACTACCAATATTTTAATTTTTTTTTTTTTTTTTTTTACTCTGGTAATTATTAAATGATGAAAAAAAAAACTAAAATATAATTTCCATCCAAACCCATTTGAGAAGGTTGAAATTTTTAGATGGGTAATATTAAAATTTGAATTTTTAGAAATTATTTTAAATTTAAATAAGATTTAAGGGCGGAGATAGAGAAGACTCTATCATGTTCATCGATCTATCGGTAGATTAGAGATAAATGGATCAAATAATTCATTACTTTAAAGTTAAAAGCAAGTTTAAAATTAAGAAGAAAAGCAGAGGAACACTCATTTAATTGGTTTGAGGTGTTCATACTTTCATTGAAACGTCGTCGGATTCAACAACACTCATTTAATTGATTTACATATTGGGGACAAAATTCCAAGACAAAAACAAAGTCATAGTTAATTAAGCATGTAATTAATGGAAATTTCAAGCAGCTGAGTGATTCTGTTTGTCATCTTGTTGGATTGCCGTGCAACTGCACCGCCGTGGGACGTTGCCGAGAGCGGCGGCTGCAGGCGTAGCCAAGAACGTGGGTGTGTTGTTTCCGGCCATGACGACCAAAATCTTTGGCTCCATTACGGGCTCCATGGCGGCGGAGCCGGCGACTGGCGGGTCCTTCTGGCTGCCGGGTGAAGAGTGGCCGGTGAAGAAGCGTTTACGGAAGGAGCATGCGAGGATGATGAGAGCTACGGCGATGAGAAGCATGGTGAGAAATAGGCCGCCGAAGAGGTAGGGAATTGGGGAGTTCCATAGGTGGAGCTTGGCGGCGGTGGGTGGTGGTGCAGCGGTGGCTAGGCGCCTCATTTGGTTCTTTCTGGGGGTGTGAGAAAATTGGCCTAATGGGATGTGGAATTTATAAGTGATTTTTGTAAAGGGCTTTTTTGTGATTTTCAAGGTTATGTGAGTTTACTAAAATGCCCTCCTTCAGTGGGAAGGTGGATTCTTTTTGTGCTGTTACTAATGCCCTCCTTGGGTATTTCCTTTTTTTCATTAATTTTTTATATATTAAATTATAGGTTTTAATGGCTTACCCACTGTCAACTTTAGCCCATGGCCATCAGTTTCACTCTTTTTTACCTCTCCCATTCATCCCATTCATCTGGGGATCTAACAATCCACTTCCTTAGAGGTTAGTGTCCTCGCTGGCACATCGCTCAGCCTCATGGTCTTTTTCCTCTACAACCAATGTGGGATCTAACAATCTAACAATCCACCCCTTGGGAGCCACCGTTCACTGGCACATTGCCCAACCTCATGATCTTTTTCCTCTCCAACGGATGTTGGATCTAACCATCCAACCTCATTGGAAGCCAGCGTCCTCGCTGGCACATCGCTCGATGTATGGCTCTGATACCATCGGTAACAGCCCAAGCCCACAGCTAGTATAAATTGTCCGCTTTGGCCTGTGACATACAACTATCAACCTCATGGTTTCAAAACGCATTTACTAGAGAGATGTTTTCACATCAACGAATGTTTTCTTTCGACATGAAATCTAATACTTTTAGACTCACAAATTTACCACAAACCAACTTCACAAAAGTTAAAAGGATTTTATTAGAAAACCACAAAGCATTGGTTCATTAATTCGTTCATTCGTTCATTCGTTTAACAATCTTGATCCAATCGGTATGAAACGATCCCTCCGTGTCAATCCTTTCATAAGTGTGAGCACCAAAGTAGTCAAGTTGAGCTTGAACCAAGCTCGTAGCCACTCTCTCCCTTCGATAGCTATCGAAATAAGCAAGGCTAGCAGACATCCCCGGCGTGCTAACGCCACAGTTAATCGCTACGCAAACCACTCGCCGCAAAGCCGATTGTCGCTGCATCATCTCCTTAGCAAACTCCGGATCCACCAAAAGGTTCACAAGATCTGGGTTTGTATCATACGCCTTCCTCACTCTCTCCAAGAACACGCCTTGAACAACGCACCCAGCTTTCCAAATCCGCGCAATCTCCCGTGGCTTCAAGCTCCACCCTTTCTCGACACTCTTAGCCGGAATCAAGTTCATCCCCTGAGCGTAGTTACAGATCTTCGATGCATAAAGAGCTTGTTTGACATCGTTGATCAGCTTCTCCTTGTTTACCTCTTCCCCGAATTCAGCTGATTGGTAAACTTTTGCAGCTTCCACCCTTTCCCCTTTCAACCCACATAGATATCTTGCATCAAGAGAAGCAGCAATGGTCGGCGCTGAAACAGAGAGCTCTGCCGCTTGCTGCACAAACCACCTCCCGTTGTCCTTCAAGCTTGTCTTGTCCAAAACCTTGTCGACCAAATACCCTTTTCCCTTGTCATCCTTAACCCCAAAAATATGCGCAGTTATTTCAATTAAATAGCTTCGAAGCTCCCCTCTGTTCCATTCAGAGAAAACTTCATGAATTTCCTGATTCGACAACTTTCCAGCTGATTTCAGTACATCGGACGCCTCAGTAATCAGCTGCATATCACCATACTCAACCGCGTTATGAACCATCTTAACGAAATGCCCCGACCCTCCTTCCCCGACATATGTCACGCAGGGGCCGCTATCAGAAACTTGCGCTGCTACCTTAAGAAGAATGTCCTCGATGTTCTTGTAAGCATCGATTGAGCCTCCAGGCATCAATGAGGGGCCATTCCGGGCACCCTCTTCGCCGCCTGACACGCCCATTCCAAGGTAAAGAAGACCCAATTCAGCCATGGCCTTTTGCCTTCTCTCGGTGGTCTCATACCACTCATTACCGCCATCGATTATGCAATCCCCTGTTTCCATGAAGGGTAAGAGGGTGTTTATGGTGTCATCAACGGGTGCCCCTGCCTTCACAAGGATCAACACAACGCGGGGCTTTTGAATGGAATTGATAAAGGATTTGGGATCGTGGAAGCCGTAGACGGGGAGGTTTCCTTCCGCTTTGGCTCGTTGAACGGTGTCATCGACCTTGGAAGCGGTTCGATTGTATACGGAAACAGGGAAGCCTTTTTCTGCTATATTGAGAGCCATGTTTTTGCCCATTACGGCCAGACCAGCAACGCCTATTCGTGTAGAAGTAGCCGCCATTTTCTTGCCTGTGTCTTGTTTTTTTTCTGCATATGAAGCTTAGTTGTGCTCCTTTTTTATTCTGAAATTGTGGCTGCAATCTGTATAGCAATCTGTACGGTATAGATATGAAAATATTATTACGAAATAAAAGAATGAAAAATAAAATTGGAATGTAAGTTTCCATCTTCATTGAAATTAGCAAAATATATTCCTGATCAAAGAGAAAAAAGAGGATTTTTTTTTTTTTTTTTTTTTTTTTAAGCTTAAAGTTCAGATTTAACGTCTATCCTTTTATCTCTAATTTATTATTTATTAGTTTTATTTTGATTTCATAAATTGTGTTAAGTTAAATTATAAAATTAATTCTATAATTCTAAATTATCGATTTTCTTAAAATTTAAAGCTTAGAGAATTAAATTAATTTAGTTAATATTATTTCAATAACTTGAATTAATAAAAATAAAATAATTTCCAGTAAACTTAAGTTTAATTGGTTAAAAGTATTTGCAAAATAAAAAACATTATATATTATTTATATATAACTACTAGACTATTCTTGTTTAATATTAAACACAGTTATTTGATTTTCAAGCATCTTATTTTTTACGCATTCTACTTTTGTACATTTTTATTCTTAACTATCTTAAACAAATATTCTAATCAAAAGATGTTGGAATATTATGAGTTGTCGGGTCATTTTGGTACGTTACGTCATATCTCACGAAAAACTGTTGACGTGGTAAAACCAAAACCATTGATCAGTGTGACCTTTTAAACCTTTTGAACTGTGATTAAGTTGGAATGAAGATGAAAGTTAATAAAATGAGTATTTTTTTTTTTTCGAACAGTAATTCTCTGTTCGGAAAGAGTATTGATTCACAAGAATAATAAAAAAAATATTTTTCTAGTTCTAATAATTATAGCGTGGAACCTTTAATCGATTTTGTGGACGGGTGACTATCACTAAACTATACTTAAATTAACTGGTTTTAAGGTAGAAATAAAAATATGAGATTTTCGATTTGTAAAGGTTTAATTAGAAATATTTACAGTTAGGTCTGATTTGTGACGTGTAAATATAAATAAAGTGGGAGAATAACTTTTATTTTGTTGGCTTATTTTTTAAATTATTCTTCAAATTTCTAATAAAATGGGATAAATCTATCCTCATCTAATTTATATCATTATTTTAGGGCTATACGTTTAATTGTTGAACGAGAGGGAGATAGACGATGTTATTATGTAATTTGTACCATATTTTACCTTTGTTATGGGTGATTTTAGACGTTGAGATCATACTTAAATGTATAATGAACAATTGGAGGCCAAACAAATATTCATACGTAATCTCGGGCAAGGTTGAGCCCAAATAAAGAGTCTATTGAACCAAAAGGCTTGAAAGCACTGGAGGGACTACACCATAGAACTATTGTAAATTGTCATAAGTTTTGATTTGATTTGGAGATTTTATGACGGTGGAGATTGTTGTAAATTGTCGTAAGATTAGATTTGATTTGGTTTTTGAATTTGAATTAGATTCGATTGGGTTATTTGAATGAGATTTAGTCTCAGTCAGAGATTTGATTTGTAATGCTATATAATGAGAGAGAGTTCTCCCTCCATTCGGGATATTGGTTGACAACAAGTGGGATTTGGGAGATGGGAGATTTTTGTGTGTCACATCGTATTTGTTGGGTGACACATTGGTATATCCATTCCTAACAAGCGGGTGGAGATGGGAGAGTTTTGGGTGTCACATCGTATTTGTTGAGTGACACATTGGTGAGAGTCTTTGTAGTGTGATAGTGAGGTATTCACCTGTAACACTTAGGTTTTAGTGATTGGGTGTCACATTGTATTTGTTGGGTGACACATTGATGAGAGACTTTGTAGTGTGATAGTGAGGTATACACTTGTAACACTTAGGATTCATACAAAACTGATTGAGATGCATATGGTGTCGTGGGATATGTTGAATTGTGAAGAATATAAGGAAGGGGTGGATGAATGAAGGTAATGGTGGCTTGAAATTTCGTTAGGCTGCATGACTGAGCTTTTTGAAACCTTGCAGGCAGGCAGGCAGGCAGGCAGGCTCTTGGAAGTTCAAGAGGAACTTGGGGAGGTTGCTAACAGAGGGTTCATATATATAGGATTGCATAGAGAGAGAGAGAGAGAGCTAAAACAAGCAAAATTAGGCCATTGTGGCCAAAAACTGAGGCTGGTGGGTGCATCAAAGTCACATTATGGCAACCCCATAAGAGGAAAGGGGACAAAAATGGAGCTCTTAACCAATCAACTGAGTGGGGGAGGAGATATCTTGTTTTAGTGGTGAGAATGGCTTATAAGTTAGAAAAATAAAAATCTTAGCCGGATCCAATCCGACCCATAAACACTTCTAAGCAGTTGGAGAAATGGGTCGGGTGGATCAGACAAAAAAGAAATGTTCACCCGCAAACAGACCAAAATTATCACGTTTCCAAAAATTCAATCCAATATTTATGGTTTGGGTGGAGTAGTCTGAAAGATATGATTGTATTGTTAAAAAAACTTAAAAAAAAGACCGTTAGTACATATACCGACAAAGTGCACGTTTTGATACTCAATTATAGAAACATTAAATTTAAGCATGTTTGGCTTAAAACAATCTTAGATTGGATTATCCCTTAGAAATTTTGCAAAATTTCAAAACATATCTATATTTCGATATCAATATGGAGAGTGAATCAAAATTTATAAAACTTAATTCAAAAGGGTGAAAAGGTGGGTATGTACCACAAGTTGAGATAAGACTCATGAGGCCGTGAGGGTAGTTTACGGAGTAAGTGTAGAATTTGAGAATCAAAGGAAAGAGCTAATTAAATTAACAACAGAGGAATCGATTTTTGTCTATCAGTTACAAGCATAACTACGTTCAGTCGAGTAATCAAAGACTATTGTTAACACTTTCATTGAAACATCACACTAAGATTTGTGTTCGAACGCACTTATTTCGTTGTTCTTTGTCCTACTCTTGTTCTTATCTCCTTATATTTTGCCTACCAACATCTCTCTCTCTTTCAACTATTTTATGCCCGTCTTTCAATTGCTTCATCATTAATGGAAAAACCAACAATTAGTGCATAAGGAGCTATGTAGATCAGCTCAAATATTTATTGATTCCCAAGATTTTAACATTCGAAGTTACAAGATTTTGTATGTGATTGCTCAGATAGAGGTGTTAGAGCTTCGTTTTCCACTCTGAAGTAGATCATCTTGATACTTGATTGAATCACCTTGGTCTTCATCTTGACATTGAGCGAACGAACAAACATCGAACTCGATATACAAATGTTAGATGTTCGAGAAACTTTCTACTAGATATACAGTTTTTGCATCCATTCATTAAACCTGCACAGACATCTACACCCCATCAATTGATTGCCTAAAACTAATAAACTTCTCTCCTAAGAACAAACAATTCACTCCATAGCAAGAAAGAAGACCGAAAGAAGACCGAAAGAATGCTCGGTAGGGAACGAATAACATCGACACTCAATGTAATGGATCCAAAACAGCAGTTAGAAGTAAAAGAACTGTTATTATATTGAGTACTGAACAGTCTTTTTTCCAGTTTCCAGAGAGGAGAAGCGGTGAAAGAAGAAAGAAAAACAAATGAGTGAGATCAAAACTAGCATAGCAATCAAGTTTACAGCAACTGCTTCCTTTTCCTCCATTCATCAATCCATGTAAGTATCATATGGTTAGCCTAGCAGCACACTACTTCCTCATTCTCAGTCAGTTCTCATCTCATCTTTATATCAAAGGTCGACGAAACTCGAACGCCGTTTCAACCAAGGACGTTACGAAGTTCTATACAGCCACCAAAATTTGGCCAATCTCCCTGTTAATAAGTTCTTTAGTGCTTCAGGATACAGATTGAAATGACCCTATTCTTAACCAATGAGGCTGTTTTTAGTTCAGTAAAGTTTCTAATCTTGAAGTGTAGACAAGAAAACTGCAGTAATTATGATTAAAAGGGGCAGTACTAGAAATATATGCTTTGAGCTCAAAACACCTACATCAATTCTTCTCGTGGTCTCCATGTCAGATCCAGTGGCAGCAGAAATACCCGCATCAGAGACATCACCCTGAGATTTTCCAAAGATTTGGAAGTCTATTATGCTAAGCAGAAATGAACAAGATGGTCTCCACATCCAATAAGTCAACGAATATTACCTCACGACCAGCAGCAGAGAACATCGTCTCGTCTACCTCGATTTCTCTTGCACAAGTAGTAGTGGTAGCAGTAGCAGTAGCAGTAGAAAAATCTTGCTTGGATGCAGTTCCTTTAGTTTCAACGGCGTTACTGTGATCTGTAACGACCGAATCCTGATTTGCTTGCTGCAACTTTGTGGTCAACAATTTGTTTTCCATTGCTAAAAAAGAAAGCTGCAAACAAAGAACGGTATAGTATGTTGGAAAACCAGATGGAATTGTCTGGAAGCTCAAAAGAGACCAGTTTATACTAGGATGTAAAGTTAGCACACGGCTATTTTGATCTTCTTCTTCTTTAACCGTCTAAGCCCACCGTTTGTAGATATTGTCCGCTTTGGCCTACTACGTATCGCCATCAGTCTCACGATTTTAAGATGCATCTGTTAGGAGAGGATTCCACATCCTTATAAGGAATACTTCGTTACCCTCTCGTGAGATCTCACAAGATTGTCCTTCCGTGTTTGGACAAGATCAATATAGAAGTGGATCGTCCGTTTTAACCCAATTCATTGCCCCACGAATACAGTTTTTTTGAAAAATCAAATAAAGTAAAAACTCTAGTCATTAAAACAAAAACAACATTAAGAAGGGCATACTCAAGTACTTAGACGACATCAAGGTGAAATCTGAGTTCTACCTGCTTATGAAGACGATCTCTCTCAATAGCCAATTGCATAGCCAGATTTGTTATAACTTTAGTGCGCACATCAATGTCTTTTGCTGAAGCCTTCTTCCTATACTCTGCCTGCTGTAAAGATGTCTCCAAGCAACCAAGCTTACCACGAACAAGCCTCAGTTCCTCATTAAGTTCTGCATAAGATTCAGATAATAGGATGCAGTTTTCCTCTGCGTGATC